CTCAGACACTCCTCAGCCCAGCTCATGCCCACCCCTCTTTCCCTGTAGGGGCCAGCGGAGTGGGTCGCAGCCACATCAAGAATGCTTTGCTCAGCAACAACCCTGAGAAGTTCATGTACCCCCCACCGTGTAAGTAACCACAATCAGGTGAGGGCATGCAGCACTACCTCAGCACATTTCCTCACCTCCTCCTCAAGCCACCAGGTGGGATGGGAGGTGGGGAGATATTCTTCCAGCACCGTGAAGCCTTGATGTCACAGGGTACCAGACAAGGCCCTGGAGGGTCTCCCTGCCTCCTGCCCCATGGGCTGAACTTACCCAGAGATGGCTGGGCTGCTACTGCCCGCACTGCAGACACCCTGTCCCCATCCCAGTGCAGCAGCTCGCCTCACACTGGCCACATTGCCTACTTGTCCCATTTAGGATGGAGTTCCAGTGGGGTTGGTAAGCCTCATCTTGAGGCACATAGGTCTTCTGTACTCCTCCTTGCCCTAGCCCCGTGCTCAGAAAGGGTCCATAAAACCCTCAGGTTGGCTCCCTGGCCTCCTGGAGGTCAGCACCTGGCTGAGGGCATTGTGCATTTTTCTCCCCCTGCAGACACCACACGCCCCCAGAAGAAGAATGAGGTGGATGGGAAGGACTACTACTTTGTTTCCACTGAGGAGATGACCCGGGACATCTCAGCCAATGAGTTCCTGGAGTTTGGAAGCTACCAGGGAAACATGTTTGGCACCAAGTTTGAAACAGTGCACAAAATCCACCAGCAGGACAAAGTCGCTATTTTAGACATTGAACCCCAGGTAGGAAGCAGGGGAAGCGATGGGCAGAATGGGGACTGCTGCAGACTGGGCAGCCCTTGTGTGTGCTGTGACCATCCCTGCACACCTGCCCTTCCCCAAGCTGTACCATTGCCCCTTACATTGCCTTACTACCCCCAGGTTCAGGGGTCCACAGCCCACTGTTGCACTACAGGCACCAGTGAATCTTGGCTGGGGGAAGTAGGGGCAGCCACTCACCTTGCCATGTTCTGATAACTGCACTCTGCTCTCTTTTCAGACCCTGAAGATTGTCCGCACGGCAGAACTCTCCCCATTCATAGTCTTCATTGCCCCAACAGACAAGGCAGAGGAGGTGGGTTGGCACAGTGGTGGCTGCAGCTCCCCAGCGTGGGGCAGGGGGGGGCAAAGGAGCCCATGGGGGACAAAGCCTTGTAGCAGCCCAGGGCTCTATTCCGAGCTCTGTAGTGAGAATCAGCTTCTTCCTGCTCAAATTGGTTTCTGTGGTCCAGGAGAGCAGCATACCTTTCTCAGCCCAGACCCAAGAGACAGGACTTGGGGATTCCTGCAGCCTTAGGCTCTCTCCCCTAGGGAGATCCCCAGCAAGCACCATCCCTAGAGGAGAACAATTAGTCCTAAACACCAAGGGCTGTCTCCAGCTGCAGCAGTGCTGCAGAGCAGGAACACATACCTGCCATCAGCTATGCAAGTGGGACATGCAAACAGCAGAGCGTTTTATTCTTTAGCTCATTGAGATGCTCACCCCTCCAAAATTAGGATGAAGCAGCACTAATGCTGCAGTTAGCTCGCACAGTGCTGAGCACAAAGCTGTTGGCTGCATACTTCTGTTTCAGAGACAGAGCAGTTCTGCTTCTCTGCTACACCACCTCCACCAGAAGAGGGGAGAGAAGGCAAAGCCCTAGAGCTGTGCTCCTGGATGCACAGCTAGTGAAGGCATTCTCTTCAGGCTGGACTGGTCCAAGCCAGTAGCTGAGGGCTTCATAAAGCTTACAGTACAGACAGCATCTGGCACGGGGAATATCTATGTAGCATCATGAAGGTGGTTGGAGACACAGCAATATGGGGAGTGTAGTAAAGCCAGATGGAGCAGGTAGGGAGGATCCAGGCAGAAAGGGCAGCGAGGCAGCCCTCTCCCTTACTCCATGCTCCATCAACAACTGCTGCCTCCAGCCCCAGAACATTAACTCCTGCCGCAGTGGGCAGGGCCAGCCCTGCTGCTGCACACACTATATATAGCGAGCTGCTGCAGCTCAGGTAACTGCTCACTGGAGGGGACACAGCAGTGCCAAAATGTGACTTAGCAGAGCTCACATGACCCAGGCAAACTGCTTAGTGCTCTCCTTCCTCCACCCTGCTGACAACTGCTGAGCAGCACCCAGCAGCACTGCAGTGAGCACATTCCCCCCCTAGGTGCAGAAGCTGCAAGCAGTCCAAGCTCCATGAGGGAGATGCCTGGAATTGGGTCTGGACTGCCTGCAGCGTGCTCCCAGGGTGACCCTGCTAGCTGCAGGGGCGTGCAGGAGATAAGGAGCAGGCAGCTTTGCTGTGCCATGCTGAATGCTCCCTACTTTTGAGGCTGTTCTGGTGGAGAGAGATCATCCTGCAGGGATCCTACCTTCAGCTCAGCCTCATGCCCTGCAGCAGCAATGAGCAGCCTGCTGCAAGGTGGATCCCAGGCAGCTGCCACGAGGTATTTAAATTAGAATACAAGACCAAATGGCCCTGACCTCACTAGCAGGTAACCTGATGCTCCCAGCATTGCATCGAAGTCCAGCAAAAATCCACTCCTGTGTTGCTGCATGACAGCTCTCCTGTCCTGTTAGATGAGGTGGGGATGTTCTGTATTCTGGTACTTGGTAGCAGCTGAAGCTGTTCTGGGGATGGGACAAAGCAAGCCTGTTGGGATGGGCTATGAAATCACCCTCCTCCTTGGCCTCCTGAACGTTTTCTCTCTTTTCTTGCAGTCAGAGGCTTTGCAGCAGCTCCGTAAGGATTCAGAGAGCATCCGGAGCAGATATGCACACTACTTCGACCTCTCAATAGTCAACAATGGAGTGGAGGAAAGCCTCAAGCTGCTGGAGGAAGCCTTTGAGCAGGCCTGCAGCTCCCCGCAGTGGGTGCCTGTCTCCTGGGTTTACTGAGGGCATCCAGCCCCCATTGCTTCCTATCAAAGCATCCTGCAGCTGTTGGGAGCAGAGAAACCTCCTCAGCTCCCCCTGATCTACACCCAGCCCAGCACAGCTCCCTTCCTCTGCTGCTCCATGGACACAGTCTCAATTGGCCAACACTCACAGGGTCTTCAGAATGCCCCTGCCAGGGAATGCAGGACAGAGGCTGCCCAGTGACATACGGTGCTATAAGTGAGAGGTAGCAGCAGAGCCCAGGGCACCCTGACAGCTCAGAGCACAGCCCCCACCTTGCCTGCTAAGGCAAAGCACAACCCTCCTGCAGCACCCAGCCCATCTTATTCTCTGCGTCAGCCCTGGGGAAGCAGTACAGCAGCCACCTTCCAGGCAGAGGTCTGCCTCTGCAAGAGCATACTTGGCCCCAAACACCTTGAAAGCCTGGCAGGTATCTGCAAGGCTTCCCATAGCACACCTGAGCCTAAGGGCTTCCTCTCACAAACCAGAAGAAAAGGTAAGCGTGGGTTTGACAGAAGCACAGAGCACACCATCCCAAGGCATGGTTCCTTCCTGCATTCTGAGGTTCGGGTGGTCTGATTCACCCTGTGCAACTGTAGTTGTAAGAACTCCCTGCATTTAAATTCTCACCATGCAGCTTGGATTGTTCCCAGCTGGCCAGAAAAACTCTGCAGCAGCTGAGCAAGTCCTGTGGACCAAACCTCTGAGGGACAGTTCGATACATAGAGTAGATCCAGCCACAAGCATCTGTTGCATGCAGTACAAACTGTGTCTCTTCAGTGATCATCCAGGCATGTTTTCTAGAGTCTAGGCTGTCCCACACACTGTATGCTAACGTAAAAACACAAAGGAGTTCCTTAAGCTGGAATGTAGTGACACACAAGCTCCACCATGACCATGTCCAGGAAGCATCACCGTGGCTCCTGGGCAGACCATAACCATGTAGGTGCAAGAATGTTATGCGTGTTCAGCAGTCAGGTGGGGGAAGGGGTTTAACAAGTCTTGTGCAATTTTGTTATTTTTTTTTTTTAAAGAAGCCAAAAATAAAATCTGTTGATGTGCAATAGGGACCTTCGTTCTGATCCACTGCAGGGAAACAATGAGCAGCAATAAACGTGTGCTGAAACATTGCCACGAGTGGTGTGTTACCTCAGGCTGAGCACAGGTGGACATCTGTTCCCACCTCCCTGAGCTGGAGGCACCAAGGTAAGGCAGGTAGGACCAAAAAGCTCTCTGGGTGCTGCCAGACTTCTCCAGGACAAGTAAAGCAGGAAAGCAGTTAGCTTGCAGGCACATCCCACTGGGTTTTACCCCCAAACACCTCCATTGAATGCTCTATGCACCTACAGCCCATGCATGTTTACTGACTGCCCTCCTTCTGAACAGACCTTGTGGTCTGAGAACCGTTCCCTTCTTGAGGAGTCAGGTAAGCAAGAAAGTCACCCATTCAAAAATAGGGCTTTTATTTTTTTTTTTTAATGTAAAAAAGGTGAATAAAATTTTTTTTTTTTTTCAACCCAGGTTCTGACAGCCACTGGTTGCTGTCCATGCTGACTGCATCTCTAGCATTGAAGGGAAAAGTCAGATGATTAAGACAAAAGCAATTCAGGAGGCTAAGACAAATGTTACAGGATCTCTGCAAAGAGCTCAGGACAAAGCAGCCAGGATCCTTCCCTACTAAAAGAAGGTAAAATCCTGGCTCAGCACTGTTCCTGTAAGAGAAGTAACCTGCTCCCACTGAGCCATCCCAAAGAAATAGGGAGAAATCATCCTGAAATCGTTCAGGTTCCACGCTTAGTGCCCTGTGCATAGCTGCCAAGCCTGTGCTCACAAGCCTTGTAATATGCTCATCTACTGCCTCTGCCCCTGCAGCTGCACCCCCACCTAATGCCTCCAGAGCACATGAGATACCAAAAATCAGCAGAGGCAGCTGAGAGGGCTGCAGCCCCATTCCAATAACTTGGTTGGAGCCAGCACTGGCAACATCACTGGGGGACACTGGGTCTGGGATCAGCTCACAGCTAACAAGCAGGTCCCCACACTAAAAAGCAAAAAGCAGGAATTTCATGTTCTAATCCTTTTATGATAAAGTTGAAAAGAGGTACCAAAGAATGGACATTTGTTCTCAACTAGCTGAGGGTCAGGCCAAGTATACACCGAGGTTAAAATCAACCACAGCCCCTCAAATAACCGATTCAGCTGTCTGCAGAGGTGCCAAACCCTTCCAGATGGGCCATGGCTAAGCCAGTCCTCCAGACACAAACACATTCTGTAACTGTCGGGTAACAGTTTCGACCTTGGAAGAGAAGGAAAAGGCAGGAGAAGAGAAGGGAAAGTGTTATTCCTCTCTTTCACGGTGAAAACAAACCCCCAAAAGCAAGGAGCTGCATCTTCCCTGAAGATACCACTTCAATTGGCATTGAGGTGTCCAGCTTTACAGAGCAATTCAGTGCAGGGGCAGTCAGGCACCACTCTCCTCTGGCTACCCTTAAAACAGGATGAGGAGGGGTACTGGAGCAGGGCATGTCCTGGGCAAACAACTTCTCACTCATATGCACAGCAGAAAAGGAACTTGGAACTTGCTGGCCCCTCAGCTGCACAGGCAGTCCTCTTTTTCAATGCCTCAGACTTCTCCCTCTCTAATGATGAGGTCGCCTGCTTTGGACAGATCCAGTTGCTTACTCTGAGCTCTCTTCTACCTCCTTCTGTTTCTTCTTCTTTTTCTTCTTCTTGGTGCTGGTTTCACTGATCTGCAAAGAAGATTGAGAGTTCAGGAATTAATCAAAAAGGCATCACTCACTGCTCATATCAGGAAGACAGTCCAGCCCACATGCAGGCTAACGCAGCACTCAGAAATCTCTTTCACTTTGCATTCTTTCACACACAGCCCCAGTGTCCAAACACCACACACACTTATCCCAGGTGCATAACAGACAGCAACTCTTCCCAATGCTTGAACCATACCACAGCAGCACCATTACATACCACTTCTATTTGTTCTTCCCCACTCTCAGATGCTTCTTTGGCTTTCTTTTCTTTCTTCTTCTTTTTCTTCTCCTTTTTGCTCAGCTCCTCTGGTGGTGGAGTGGCTGGGGATGGTGGTGGGCTGGCAGCCTCATTTTCACTCTCTGACTCTCGCTTTCTCTGTTAGGAGAGCACTCTGTCAGACTATTTTCCAAATGAGCTCAAGTGATGGAAAAGCTGTTTGCAAGCCCATCACAACTGCTTTTTTTCCTGATTCAAACTTCTCAGTAAGCAACACTTTGAACAGGAGTGTGAACTACAGACTGCCAGAAGTCCCTTCCATCATACAGCATAGGGATTCCTTTCTGCCAGAATTACACCTCAACTTCTTAAGTGTTCCCCACTGCTGCACTACATGCAAGCCTTAACTTAGATCCCTACATCAGAGCAGAAGTCCTAACTCAGGGAACTCTATATACAATGTTTGCATGGACTCCTCAGATGAACTTTCAGTCTGTAATCTCCAGAAAGGTTCTCTGGCACAATGACCTGGCACTGTAGCTCCATCCAGTGTATTTCTTTGGATGCTGCAGCTTTTACAGTACTCCTCATTCCCACTTATGGTGCTGCAGTATCCATGTACAAAGACAGGGACCAAAAGGACAGAGCACCCTCTGCCCTCACAGAGACAGGCTCTACCACAAAAGCACAAGATCCAAAGCAGCCTTCAGAGCCCAAACAACCTTATACCAGAGAGCAGCAGTACTCACTTTTGGAGCCCTTTCCACTTCTGACACAGCCTGGGGAGCTTTAGCTGCCTCTTTCTTGGACGACTCCCTGAAAGAGAAGAGACCTCAGGCTGAGTGAATGCTGCTGCCTTCACAAGGGTTCCCTTACCCACAACAGGCATTGATTAGGGGAGTTCAGTGTGGGGGAGGACCTGCAGCCTGCACCAGTGCCAGCTGGACAGGACAACAGCAAAGCCTCCCCTCTTTTATTTAGCAGACTGACTCCCTCTAGAGCCACAGGCACAGGCTACAAAGGGATAACCGTCTGCTCAGGGCCTTTCACTCCAGTCTGGCAGACCACCAGCATGTTCCATGGAACTTTGAAGAACACAGCTAAACACCAAGGGTCCAGACAGCAAATTCACTTTGGACCAGGTATGATATCCTAAGTACAAAAGGCGGTGCCCAGAACAGTGCTCACAGCATGCAACCCATCACTGTGCCCACACTCTGAAGCTGCATGCTCTGTACCCACCTGTAATCCACGTACTCCTTCTTCCAGGAATCTGGTGTGCACTCATTGGGCTTTCCATGTTTGTCCAGCAGGCCCTTCTGGATCATCATCTTCTTCTGACTGGCCTGAGAGCAAAGAGCAGAAGCTTAGATCACAGCTCCGTGAAGGAGAAAGCATCCCTTGGGCTTCAGCCACCCACCCTAAGGAATAACCCAGGAACAAGCCAAGGCAACAACTGCATTATCACCGGCCTAACCATTCTCTGAGAACCTTCTGACAACTCACAGGAAACACCCACTGCACAGCAGCCTACAAGGAACAGACAGAAGGCGTCCTATCTTTAATTAATGCAGATTTGTGAGAGAAGTAACAGCAGCAGACAAATGCGTATCACTGAACTCAGATCCTTGGCCATAATTACTCCTCCAGCTTAATGACCCACTACATTTCAGCTGAAGCACTGCAACTGCACAGCTCCTTGCCCCTCCCGAGCCATCAGCATGGGGTGATAGATGAAGGTCATCTTTGCACAGAGTGCTAATGACAACCAGTTGACATCATTTGGCTCTTGACCACAGGAGGGCTCAAGCACAGACCAGAGGTGCCTGCAGCCCCACAACTGGGCATCCACTAACACCACTGAGTCTCCAGCTGCTCACCTTGGGACCGAGGCCCCATTTGCGGGGATATGTGTCTCTCTCCATGATTACTCTCTTAATCTTTGCTACCACGCCATGGTCGCAGGTAGAAATGACAGCAGTGGTCATCAAGGCAATGGCTGCAGAAACAAGCAGGGAGCTTACAAACATTAAAACAGCAAAACCATGAGAGTACAGATGCAAGAATGTGCTGGGTTCAGGCTTTTCCTCCTCTGGCAGCACAAAAAGAGAGACAAACCACCAACAATGCCCTATCCCCCTGAAAACCTCACTGGAGGAAAGCTCTGGTCTAAAGCTTCAGGAAGATGTCCTGCTCAAAGGCAGCAAGCTGATGTGACCACATCGGAGGTTAGAAATGCTCCTGCAGCTGCCAGTGAGGCACTGGGATTTTGAGCTGGGATTTTCATCAGGTGGCAGTATGTGATCAGATGTCATCCCTCGTCTCAGTGGGGACAGAGCCCCTCAGAGAGGGGCCCTGACCCTGCCAGCACTGCTTTGCTCCTGCAGGCAGCCAGCCACACACCACAGCAGCCCCCAGCAGGACACTGGGACACTGCAGGGTCTCTGGAGGCTGCACGGCACCCAGACCCTAGAACAGGAATCGGGGTGCTGCAGGAGGGCAGTGCCACTGCACTCAGAGAATGGATAAACTTCATCATCACCTCACACACACAGCACACCTGAGCTCTGTGCAGCTGAAACACCGAGGAGCACTCCAAACCTTGCCAAATAATAGCTCTTAAGGAAGCACTACTTAAACTTCAATGCATGTTGTCTAATCTGCTACACCTTCACTGGAAGGTGTATTTTTACACATAGGTGGGCACAGGAATAAGCAGCTTCATACCTAGGCAGATAGCTTCTCCTTTTGTGGTGATGACTACAATCTCCTGATTAAGCTCAATACCATCTTCATACCTCAGGACACCAGGCAGCATGATCTTGGCTCCATAGCAAATGGCATTAACCTAAAGAGGAAGGGAACAGAAAGGCTTGTAAGCGACTGGAGGACAAAATCAGTTCAAGAAGCACTTCTAATATTTTAGCTTCCCATTGCCTCTACTGTTATTAACAATAACACTAACATGTTTCTAGCTGACTACCAATACCAGGTTCTGCAGAGCACATGACACGACAGTGCTGAGCACCACGAGGACCCTGATTCTTCATTTATGAGCTGCACAAGACAGGACACAACCTCTGCATCAAGCAGCCCTACCTCAGGAACTCACCGCACTGTCTTTCATGACGAGCCGCTTGTGTGAGGTGAGCAGCTTCTCCAGGGGCAGGATGACACGCCGCAGGTAGCTGTCATCCTTGTTGTTGTCATACTGCCACTGTGCATCCAGCACGTCGTGCATGGTCACCATGTTGTCCTGCAAAGACACAGCCCCTCTGAGCTCCCCCCTACAAAGCAACTAGCTTGAAACATGCACAAAAGACACAGCTGAAGCCTAACGGCAGATAGTGTGCTGGAAAGGAGGGAAAATTGGTGCCCAATTCAGAAACATCTATAAAATCTCCATAGAAAAGGCAAGAACAAGCACATTCTGCTGGCAGCTCGAGGGCAGTCTCATCTCTGCTGCTTCAGGCTTCTACTTGCCCAATGTCACACTGCACTGGGATCAAGCGTGCAAGTTCTGTCTACACGAAACACTTTCCAAGTGTGACCAAGCTTAAATACCTGGGACTTCTAGACAAAGTAGATGAGTGAGTAGAAGCCTGAATTAATCAGCTCATGAATCTGTGACATGGGATAAGTTACTGAAACAGCTGCAGCCATCCATCACCTTGGATTCACTGCCAGTGAGTTGCACCTCTGTTAAGAGCACAGATAGGGCAGCACTTGCACTCTGATAATCCAGCTTTGCAAACAGAGAAATTAATCCTGGAGTTTGGATGGGCAAGTGGGATCCAGGAACAACCAGATGGAAAACTGTGCAAGTGTTGAAGATCACACAAAACTGCACATCTTGAGTGGCCTTTGCTAAGGCACACAGCCTGCACTGCACCTTGACACAACTGATCAGGCTGCTGAACAGATAGCTCATGTGTCTGAACTCCAGACACGTGCATGGTTTGTAGGCTGAGAAACACAGGTGGCATAAAGCAAGCTTTCAGTCACCAGGGTGCACTTCTCAGTCATTTCTGTCCCAAAGCTTAATTACCAGAACAGGGACAAGACCCTGAACTGAACTCAACACTTTGGTTCTGGACTGCCTATGGCAAGTGCCACACTTCCAGTCCATTCACAGCACTTCCCAGTCACCGTGCACCTATATCCTTCTCTAACACCAAAGAAGAAAGACCATTTTGGGGAACTCCTACAATCTCTCATTTTCTAGTTTGCTGATTACAGTCAGAATCATCACTCTACCATCTCTCCCAGGATGCCTGACCGCACTCTGCGGAGCTCCTGCATTTGGCCCCCAACACCAAGCAGCAAACCAAGGTGGACACAAAGCGTTCGGATGTAGGTGCCTGCTTCACAGCTCACCCAGAAGATACCTGAAACACAAGAGAGAATTTACATGTATAGCTGTAAGCGAGCCACATCTAGAGGCTCCACATCCAGCCCCTCAAAGAGCCATCAGCAAGGGGTGATAGATGAAGGTCATCTTTGCACTGAGTGCTAATGCCGTCTAGCTGACATCATTTGGCTCTTCAGTGAAGGGTGCAAAACTAACAAAAGAAAGTAGGTGAGATTTGTTTCTCAGCAAAAACAACGCACGAAGCATTTACTGCTCAGTGGGTGCAAGGATCTGTATCTCAGTACATCTGCAAAGAATGGGAAGCAGCACACTTGAGCTGAGTGTAGTCAAAGGCAGGAGAGCTGTATTTTACCTAATCTTCTCTCAGGATCATACTCCACCAGCTTGCTCTCATAGATGGTTCTGACTCTCAGCTGTCGCTTAACAGCAGCGATGAGGGGCGGTCGCTGGAAGAGTGCTCCTGTCAGAGTTTCTATTGCCTAAAGGTAGAAGAAATAACACCTTAAGCTGGGCTATTAGCACAGCTGACATGTGAGCACCTCTGAGTCTCCAGGAAAGAGAACCTTCTCTTGGAGTGACAGGCTCATCACCAAGTGGCTATTTCGTATTTAAGAAAGCTGGTGTGAACCACCGATGTGGTCAAAACGCTCCTGCAGCTGCCAGTGAGGCACAGCTGGGATTTTCATCAGGTGGCAGTATGTGATCAGATGTCATCCCTCGTCTCAGTGGGGACAGAGCCCCTCAGAGAGGGGCCCTGACCCTGCCAGCATTGCTTTGCTCCTGCAGGCAGCCAGCCACACACCACAGCAGCCCCCAGCAGGACACTGGGACACTGCAGGGTCTCTGGAGGCTGCACGGCACCCAGACCCTAGAACAGGAATCGGGGTGCTGCAGGAGGGCAGTGCCACTGCACTCAGAGAATGGATAAACTTCATCATCACCTCACACACACAGCACACCTGAGCTCTGCTCCTACCCCTTCATCACCCACAGAAGCCAAATTCTTTGCACAGAGCGCCAGCGTGGCCAACAGTGTGCAGAGACTTACCCTGGCAAGCTGAGCCTCACTTTCAATTGCATTGTGCAGCCGAACAATTCCCACATACTCTTTGCCTGAAAGAACGACAAGAGCAGTCAGGAACGGCCACTTGCATTTAATGTTGACCTCAAGGCATGCACTGCCACACAAACAGCTCTCCTAGGAGGTGCACACCACTCGTTATGCAGTAGGTTATTCTCCCCCCAGAACAATCTAAGCTGCATATTTACTTCTTCACCATGATTTATGTCTTGGGATTTGCAGACTTGCGCCTTAAGTTCAGCTAGCACACAAAACCTGCCTTTCAGACATGTTTTCATCGACCTAAAAGAGCACAAATCCCAGAGAAGCAATCAGAAAAACCACTTGAGACAGCATGGATGTGCCCTCAATGGCTGGAAGCAAGATGGATAAGCAATCCTTGAGCTCAAGGCACTGAAAGCTTAAGGCAGGCCTTTCAAAGACAAGTACGGAAACCTCCTTGCCTCCAAAATAACTCTGCACCTCCTCAGCCACTTTGACCACAGTCCCATGGCAATGAACCTACCTGCACTCTGCTGAGACTTGACAAGCCGTGTCGCCCTCTCAATGCACACAATGAGGCATCCAGTCACCTTAGGGTCCAGGGTGCCACTGTGCCCTGTCTTCTCTACTCGAAGGATGCGTCGGATCCACGCCACCACCTCATGGGAAGATGGATTGGAAGGCTTGTCCAGGTTGATGAAGCCAGACCTACAGAGTGAGATGACAGATTAAGACTACATGGTGGGTCTAACAAGGGCAATGTGAAAAACAGGATGAGATTTGTCATGGTAACATTGAAACATTTCTGAATGAACAGCTAGACAGGAGCTGAGCCACAGAGTTGTTCCACTCAGCGCATACAGAGATGTTCTGTGCTGCAGCTCACACGCTCCATAATTCAACAGTACTCTCCAGAATGCTGCCACTGGTCAGCGTAAAATGCTGCAGCCGTGCTCCAAGCAGACCCAAAGCCCCATACAGACTGAATGGCTCTCCAGAGAACCACTGAGGCCTCCCCTGGTGTACATCTACCCGCAGAGAAGCCACAAAACCAAACCAAAGCCACCTCCAAAGAAAACGGGCCAGCAGGACCCAGGCAGACATTCACTGGTGAACAGCAAGACAGAGTCAAGAGAAAAGAAAAAGAAATCTGGAGCAGAATGTGCTTGTGATATGCTAACTGTGGAAGAGAAATAAAACACTCTGAATTGTTACACTCACCGTACATAGTCAGAGATCTCCCTCTTCAAGGGATTAGCACCGGAGGGGAGGGGTGTGTAGTGTGTTGTCAGCACGTTTAGCTTGTCAAAGTTCTACGAAAGGAAAGCAAATAATGACTGTAAGTACCATGAGATGGAGGTGAGACCGAGGACAGCAGCTTTATCCCAGCACAGCTCCCAGTTGTACAAAGGACGCTTTGCATTCAGGTTAACGAGCCTCTTCCAAATGACTAAACAGCAAAGATGAGGGGCCGAGAAAGGAACAGCGCAAATAAACCCAGCTTTTCATTGCTTTCAGCTCACGGAGCAGAAACACGAACGAAACCCAACGAGAAAGGCGGGGAGCCACCGCCCCTCCGTGCTCGTTACCTTCAGCAGCAGCGGCCACTGGGACGTGTCCAGCTGCGCCACGCGGGACTCGGGCTTGATGAGGAACTCCTCGGTGTGCTGGATGTCCTGCGGGGCACAACGAGGGCTCAGTGTGCGCCACGCGGTTTCGCTCACACCGCCCATCCCCCCCTTCTCTGCCCGCCCCCCGCTCCCGGGGCGGCCGCACGGCGCCGGGCGGGACACGTGGAGCCCATCGCGGCCCTCCGCCAGCCCCGCGCCGCCCTCACCGCCACATCCTCGTCGGGCAGCGATCGCTTGTCCTTCTTCCGCCGCTTCTTCACGGAAGAACCTACGGGAGAGACACGTTTAGCGGCCCACCGCCCCGATGAGGCGCCTTCCAGGCCAGCCCCGCCACCGGGCCCCCCCCCGTGGATCGCAAGCAGGATCCATGGGCCCCCTCCCGCCCCACTCCGGTCTCCCTCCCGCCGCCCCACCGCGCACCGTCCCCGTCCGCCATGGCCGCGCCGCGTGGTGCCGCCACCGCGCCGAGAGCGGAAAGGCCGCCCCTTCCCGACAGCCCCTGCGGCACCACGTGACACCGGATGGGCGGGATCACCGCTATCCCGCCGTACGTGACCACGCCCCCGATAACCACGCCCACCCCGCGGCCCCGCCCTCCACCCCACGAACCAATCGCTGCAGTCAAGGAGCGCGCTCGCACCGCAGCTTTATTACAGACGCTGAGCTCCACCGTAACACAGCGTTACGCTCCCCGCCGGCGGGGCCACGCGACCCGAGCCCGTCTCGCCGGCAGCTCCCCGCGCACACGAATTCCGAACAGTCCCGAGGCAGCAGGGACCCTCCGGGCACAGTCCTGTGATAGTCCAGGCGGCTTTCAAAGCCCGTGCCCCGCGGGGCTGAGCATGTCCTGCAGCACCAGGTGCAGCAGGTGGTTCTGCTCGGCGCTCAACAGCGGCCACAGCTCGGCCTGCAGAGCCCGAAGCGCAGCCGCGTCCTTCTCCTGGCAGGCCAACACGGCGGACTGCAGCAGCAGGAAGAGCTCTGCGGGCAGGTAGCTGGCGGCCGCAGGCAGCCCTCCTCCCGCCGTGCCGCCCTCGGGCGCCTCCCAGCAGTACTGCTCCAGCGTGCGGGCGTGCTCGGGCGGCAGCTTGCCGGGCGGCGGCTGCAGGAGAAGCAGCAGCAGCACCCGCGACACCTCGCAGCTCACCAGCGCGTCCAGGAAGGCTCCGCCGGGCGCGGCCCCGCCGCTCCCCCCGATCCCGGCTCCGGTTCCAGCCAACGCCTGCGCCCGCGTCAGCGCCGCCAGAGCCCCGGCGTAGTCGCGGCCCAGCAGCAGGCAGGAGGCGCGCTCTGTCAAGCAGCGCAGCGCCTCCAGGGGCAGCTTGGCGGCCGCCAGGAGCTCGGCAGCCCTCTGGAAGTGCGCGGCGGCGCGGGCGGGCCGGCCCGTATCGCGCAGCGCTGCCGCCAGCTCCAGGCAGAGCCCGGCCGCCAGCGCCGGCTGCCCCCGCTCCAGGTGCAGGCGGGCGGCGAAGGCCCCGCAGCTCTGCGCCGCCGCCAAGTGCTCGCCGAAACCGCCGCGCAGGGCCAGGCGCTGCCGCAGGTCCCGCTCCTGGCGCAGGAAGAGCCGCGCCGCTTCGCCCAGCGCCGCCGCCTCGGCGGGGCCGTGGAAGAGGCTCTGCGCGCAGCGCGCCACCGCCAGCTGGCACCAGGCCGCGTAGGGCAGGCTCTCCTGGGCGCGCAGCTCCCGCGCCAGCGCCGCGAACTGCTCCGCCGCCTCCGCCACGTTCGGTTTGCGCAGGAAACGCCGCCGCAGCTTGGCGGACACCAGCCGGTACCGCGACAGGAAGTCCCCGTCCCCGCCGCCGGGACCCGGCCCGGGCCCGGAGCCGCCCGCCCCGCCGGGCCCCGAGCCGCCCGCCGCCGCCAGCATCGCGCGTCGCTAGGAAATGACGCAATCACGCCGCGTCTCCCTTGGAACCTTATTCTGCTGACCAATCAGCATCCACTACCGGGTCAGGCGGGGAAGGGTGTAGGTGGGGGCGTGATCTCATTTGAGCCCCGCCCATCTACGGGGCGTGGCGACATCGTACAGGCCACGCCCCCTGGCCGGCATGCAGCCCGGCGCTCGGTGCTCCCCGGTGCTCTGTGCAGCCCGGTGCCCTGCAGCAGCCTGGCAGCAGCGGTTCCGAGGGCAGGCAGGCCGGCCCTGCGGCAGGGCTGGCTCCTCCCTGTCCCCAGACGCTGTGCTGCGCAGGAGGTGCTCAGCTTTCTGCCCGGTGCTCAGAGTGCCGTGCGGATGTTGCGCCGTGGGAACTTCCCCGCGTGGGTAAAAGTTCGGTCCCAAAGGGCAGTGCAGGTGTTGAGGTCTGAGAGTGAAGCTCACGCTCGGTATTTCACACGGGTGGTGAAGTTTCAGTGCATGCAATCAGCACCCCCGGAATTCTAAGAAAACCCCTCTCTGACCTATTAATTCCAGAGCGTTCCACAAAGCTGCTGCCTGAAACTGCAAGGTGGATAATGTAACTCATCCCTCTGCAGCACAAAATCCCCCAGGCTGACAGTGCTGTGGTGTAGTGCTGATCTGCCTCCCCCGCAAACACCCGCTGTGAGCAGGCAGTGCTCTTCCTGCACTTAAAACCACATAGAGCCCACGGGATGGCAGTTTGCAGTCGGGCTGCTGCCACCCAGCAGTGCCCATTGATGTCAGGAAGGCTGTCCTCCCCACAAGCCATGCCTCGCTTCTCCTCCTGCTGCTTTCTGGCTGCTGCACAAAGTGGCAAAAACCAGGAGTCTGCTGCTTGCTGCTCTGTCCTTTCCCATTGCCAGGAGCAGATGTGCTCTGTGCCTCCATGGGTGCAGGTACCCAGAGATGTGCGTTGCAGAGTGACTGACACCAGTGAGCTGATGCTGTAGAAATGCCCTCGGAGATCTCCAGGCTTTCTCTATTCACAGCTATTTCTCTGCTCTGTGTCTGGCAGGTTGGGTTTTAGATTGACTCAGTAAGGGCAGGAGGTGAGGCTGAGCCAGCACGACATACCGAGACAAGGAGGAGAAAATGGGCTCGGTGGCCTCTGCTTTCCCCTCAGCAGGCTCTGAGATTTCTGTGGATGGAACAAGGCACCTCCTCACACACTTCCTATCCTGCCCACACGTTGCTGTAGTTTGTGTTCCGTTGGGGTCGGATGTTGGTGCCAGATACCCAAGGAGCATAGCCAAGGGTTCAAAACTGAGCCCTCTTTCCTGCTACCTTCACAGCCCCCTTCCCCGTCCACCCACCATGGCCATTTGCATCTGTGAGAGCAAATCTGGAGATAAATAAATCCAGGAAGGTGGATTCTGTTGTGGCACAACCTGCTCCAGGCACGTGACTGCTGTTGGTTCGGTGCTGGGTGAGGGCTGGTGGGGATGAGCTGCCTGGACCCTCACCTCCCACCCCTGTGGGCTCTTCCTACCATCCTAAAAAGGATTCTAGCAGAAGTGCTGTCACAGACAAGCTGTCATTTGGAGGTATTTCAGTGCTTGTCCATTGCTCTGCATCCCACAGGGCAGGAGGAGATGCAGCCCTGAGGCAGGGAGATGTGGGCCTTGGTGTGGTACCCCGCAGGTACCAAAAGGAGTGGATTACGGGATCCTTCTATGGGGCGTTTTCACACCTATCAGCCTATTTGTGTCCGGTGCACTTGGGTGCACTGCAGAGCTTACCTTCTGCACAACCTTCCCCACAAGGGCCAGGAGGGGAAAACCAGGCAAGCCCATGTGGGAGGGAAGTGGGATGGGAGGTGTCGTCACCAGTCAAGGGCTTATAGGGGCCACGAGGAACAGGAACCTCCGTCACAGCCGGTGCAGGAGCTGAGGAGTGCCAGGTGAGGTGGGTGTCTCCGGGTCAGGGATGCCAGTTGGTGGGGGGCCATGCTCAGAGCTGGGAGGGAGAGCTTGGCGCTAAGCAGGGTTGTGGCATGGGACCATTTGCAGGTGGTGGCCACACTGCTGTGCCATACAGACACACACAGAGCGTACTGCAGGGCTGTCTTTACATGCAAACTGTGCTGTCTGTGTGCACAGGGGCTGTGCTGCCCCTTGCGAAGTATATTCAGAGCACTGTGATGGGTGCACAGGCAGAGCACGGTGCTCTGAAACCATTAGGTGCTTGTGGCAACACTGCTATGCAGTGAGCTGTGAGCGGTGAATGTGGAGCACTCAGCCCCCTGTGTTTTTTTACCACTGTGAGTTGCAAGCAGCAAGCTCATGGAGCTCTGCAGCCTCCATCCAGGCGTGCTGCCCTGCCCTGCTGTCCTGGCGTGCTGGGCAGGTGTAGAGGGAGCAGAGAAGGGCATTAGAGAAGTTGTGGTATGTGGGAGGGAAGCTGGAGATTTCTTCAGCTCTCCATCATTCAGCATCATGGAAAGTGGAAAGGGGAGGGAGGCACTGGGGCACGCAGGAGCTCATGGGCATGCAAAGGGTTCTGCAGGTGGTCCCAGTAGGGCAGGTGCTGACAGAGGATGTCCAAGTGCACAGCGTTGGGTCCCTGGGCTGCACATGTCCTGAATTCATATTTGCTGTACCTGTTCTGTCGCTTGTGTGAAATCAGAGCTTGGGGTGGGCTGACCCTCACTCCAGACATTGTTAAGCAGCTCACCTCACACAGAGCCACAGTCTCATCCGCCCATTCCCAACCTCCCTCATGGCACAGAGTTGGGAGAAGCTGGGACAGGCAGGAGCAGGCTCTGCTTTCCTACCAGTGTTTAATGGGCACATCCTCAGTGGACATTTCCCTACAGAGAGCCAGCAGAACCTGTTCCTTGCCCAAAGCCATTTTTCCATTGCATTTGGGGCACTGGATACCATAGGTGGCTGTGCTCCCCATACATCCCAATGCCCACATGCCTCCAGCTCGCCCCAAAACCCCTTGCAGCTCTTCCTGCACATCTCATTTCAGATCTGAACGCTTACAATGGACCCTCAGAGCACCCCCCCTCCTGCCATTGAAGTCACTCAGCAGCTCCTGGGCAATTCCTGCTGTCAGATCCACGATGGGTTCCTCTCAGTGACACTGCCTGTGATGTACTCACTGATCTTTGCCATTGGGCTGCTCAGCAATGTGCTGGCACTCTGGGTGTTCTCATGCAGCATGCAGCGCCAGACCTCCATCACTGTGTACATGAGGAACCTGGCCCTCTCCGACCTCCTGCTGGCCCTCTGCCTGCCCTTCCGCATCGCCTTCCAGGACAGGAGTGAGCCTCGTGTCTTTTGCAATATTGTTGGGGCCTTCTTCTACCTCAACATGTATGTCAGCATCACTTTCCTCAGCCTGATCAGCCTGGACCGCTACCTGAAGATCATCCGGCCCCTCCAGAAATACAGGATTCACACCGTGTCCTGTAGCACGTTGGCCTCTGGAATGGTTTGGGTGGTGAACTTTGCCTTCATGCTGCCTTTCTTTTTTGAGAAAAGAGGGAAGGGACCCTGTGACCATAAATGCTTCCACTTCAGGAGCAAAAGCACCATGGCAGCAGCCTTCAACATGGCCGCAGTGGCTGCCTTCTTCATCGTGCTGTTGCTCTTCCTCTACTTCTACAGCAAGATATTTGCCAAACTGCACCAGGTCTCCTCAGTGAAGGCCCAGCAGCTGAACAAGAAGACCAGCACGAGAGCCATCACCAAGACCTTTGTGGTCCTGGTTATCTTCATTGTCTGCTTCACCCCCTACCACACTGTCCGCATCCCTTACATCCTGGCGCAGATCGGGGCCATTTCCAGCCTGCCCTGGAAGCAAGGTCTGCACCTCGCTAACGAGCTCGTGCTCTGCATCTCAGCCCTCAACAGCTGCCTCGACCCCATTATCTTCTTTTTCTTGTCCAGCAGTTTCCGCAGGGCCGTGCTCTGCACCATCCAGGGCAGGCTGAAGGGAGTCCTGCTGAGCAACCAGGGCAGGCTGACCCCCAGCAGGTCTGTGACGGAATTGTAGCGTCAAGGTCCAGAAAATGGGATTTCCTCATTGCAGATTGGCTCTGGCCACTGGTATTTATAGGACAAGGCTTGCTGGGAAGATGGAACCACTCCGTGAGACATGGCTTAGTGGGCGTGGTGTGATGGGTCAGGGTTGGACTTGGTGTCATTGAAGTCTTTTCCAGCCATAATGGTTCCATGACTCTACAATTCATGTAACACCACCGGGGTCAGAGTCTCCATGGGAGTAAACGAGGAGAAAAGGACAGCTGGGACCTTGTTTGTTCCTACCACAGCTGGCATAGCTGAAGAGCATATTTCTGAGCACGAATGAAGCTGGAAGTGCCAAAGGAGATTTGGCCTTGGCCTGGGAACCCCGGGCAGCCCAGAGGGCAGGAGCAGAGCTGGGCTCCTTTGCAGACGAAGAGGAGAGGGGAGGAGTGAGAAGGGGAATGGGCAATGAATCATTACTAAGGACACATCGTCTTCTCACCAGAGAGAGGAAAAAAGGGACGGGACAGGAGAGGGTGCAGTGCAAAAGCATCTGGGAAGGATGAGGAGGCATCAAAGCATCACTCGTGGAGCCAGGGAATATTTTGCTCCATGATGGAGCACAGAGGTGAGCACTGCCAGACTTGTGCAACAGACCTGCCAGGAAATGCTGCAGCCCTGCAACCTGAAACCACGACAGCATCAGCTATATTCTCTCATTACTGCAGCCTTTGTAACCTCAGCTCAGCCCCACATCTCCATGCACCGAGCTCAGGGCTTCCTTTAGCTCTTTGCCCCTCTCATCAGCACATTTGCAGGGGCTGGCAGCTCTCCTGGGCACAGCACAGCTCTCTTGGGGCCATTGCTTCAGGAAGGTTGCAGTGGGCAGAGGGGCTGCAGTGCCCCCTGAGCCCCAATGGGAGCAGCTGGCTCTGAGCTTCTCAGCTCTGCTGTTCTGCAGCAGCTCCAAAAGAGAAACCCACGAGGGATGTGCAGGAGTTGCTGCCTTCATCAGCGCCTGTTTCCTTCTTGCAGAAGAGAATATTTCTCGGTATTTTTATCCTGTTCTATGCCCACACCTCATTTGTTCCCTTATTCTTAGGGCAGTGAAGAGGTGGAGCAGCAGCATGAGCTCCCTGTTGGGCAGCAGAGCTGGGCAGTGAGAGGTGGGGCTTCATTCAGACCAAACTGCCGTAGTGACCACAAAACTCCAACACTGAATAATACTTGGGAGAATAAAATGTTTCCTTAAAGACTGAATGATCTGATCTTTCCAATCAAGGTATGAGCAGCTTCAGTCTGTATGTATCTGTTTTCTCTCTGTATGATGAGCAGGAGAGAGGGATATTTCACTCAGAGGGTGGTGAGGCACTGGAACAGGTTGCCCAAGGAGGCTGTGGATGCCCCATCCCTGCAGGCATCCAAGGCCAGGCTGGATGTGGCTCTGGGCAGCCTGGTCTGCTGGTTGGTGACCTGCACATAGCAGGGGGTTGGAACTGGATGAGCATTGTGTTCCTTTTCAAACCAGGCCATTCTATGATTCTATGACGATCTCTTCAGCGGAGGTGGGGGGAAAACACAACCAGCAAAGATTTTCCTATGGAAAGCTGCATACAAATGTCACAACGCTGTTTTTCTTTTCCGATCAGTGCTGACGAGCTGCAGCAGTGACACTGTGTGGTTCAGAAGCCTCAGCATTGCAACAGCAGTGCCTATGTGCAGTGCTCAGCGTGCACAACCCCCCCGCAGACATCCTCCCCCACAATGGAAGCCGCAGGGCTTGCAGGGCTGAGCTCACTGCTGGGTGCCCCACGTCTCACCCCTTACCCCATCCCCGGGCGGTGGGATGCAAACCGACATCCTTTTCATTTCTAGCTTAAAGCAGCACAGGGATCATTATCTCTAGCAGGCAGGAGGTGACGTGCAGCCGCGGGGGCTGTCGGGAAGCGGCGGCGGTTCCGCCGTGCTGTGACCCCAGTATGGCCCTGCTGTGATCCCACTGTGACCCCAGCACGGCCCCATTACAGCACACAGCTGCTGCTGCCCTACACCCACCGGATTCCGCACTGCAATGGCTGCAGCCTGCAGCTTGCTCAGGTGAAAAGCAATTTTTCATTCCCTTTGCATGTAAGTGGAGCACCCCACCCCTCCGCATGTTAACCCCGGGTCTGGATAAGAATTTTAGCTGCTATATGCTTTAATCTGAGATTATTGTTTATTGTGTAGTTAAATTGGTGATGGATGTATCACGCGGTGAAACAAAAAATAAATAAATTCATGCTTCCAGCATACTTGAGACCGTGTCCTTTTCAATCATGATCCATTAAACTGTTGGAATATTATGCTGTAAATTATTAGTAGAATATTATGTGGTGGTTATGCAAAGCAGCAGCCATTCTGCTCTGCCTCATTTCAGTAACTGGAATGATACCTATGCAATGTTAATCCCAGGCCTGGGATGTCTTCAGGAGGCTCAGGTGAGCCCAAATCACCGCATTGATAACTCTGGGTCACTGCTGAGAATCTTTGTGCTGGGAAAACTGAGCAGTCGTGCTCAGATCCATGGGGAATTCACCAAATTCTCTATGACACTCAAATCTGAGGATGGAAAGGACCGGAGAAGCATCATCACGCCTGTTGCTGCTCTATTCCAGGTGCAGTCGGGGCTCACAGCTGTGACATCTGCTGTGACACCACGGGGTGCACGGTGGGCTGGAGGGCTCTGAGCAGCCCCTCTGCTGCCTGCCATGGCCCTGCCCCATGCATCCATGCTGACACGCCGGTGCCTCCGCCTGCTGACCCCACAGCCCGTGTTCCTGAGCAGCCTGCCTGGGTGGGACTGTCGACAGCCAACAGGGGAGGGAGCAGCCAAGAGGAGAAGGAGGAAGGATGGGGAGGGCTGCAGCTTGCCAGCATCCTTCTGGGAAGAGAGGTGCGGTAGTGGGATGTGTGTGCTGTGCATGGTGGGGGAGCATTTGGGTATGGAGGGCTGCAGTTGGGAAGGTCTGTGTGTTGCGCACTGCATGCACAGCTCAGCTGTCTGCTGTCAGAACCCTGAGCAACCGTGGTGTTTATTGCCCTCAGCAAGCACCAGCCTGGCTGTGATTGTCAGTGCCAGAGCAAGGGGCTGCACTGAGAGTTTAAAGGTTACACCTCCATCCACTTGTCAGGTAGAAATGAGAGGCTCAGCTGTGACAGAAGTAATGGAAAGGGCAAACAAAGAGGTCTAAGCAAGAGGGAAGGAGCTGGGACAGAGCAACTGCCTTTCTGGCAAGCAGAAAGTACTCACCCATGTGATTCACAGTTCTGTGCTTGGAATCAGCTGGTGATTTGAATGCAGCTCCCAAAGCCCCAGTGGGGAAGAATAGCAGTATATCCAGCTGAGCACCTGATAGACACTTAGGACAGGTTGGATTATATCCATCTCACCCCGTCCTCCCTTATTTTCTTTGCAAGGCAGCTTTGTGTGTTGCATCCCTGCTCTCTTTGGCTTGGATATAAGTATCACGGGGTTCCAAGGCTCACCTCCCAACTGCTGCTGGAGGGCTGGCCATGTACAGGAGCCCATAATTCCCCTTATGCAGTGCAGAAACTGCATTGGTCCATACTGAGCTTCATCCCATGCAGCTTTCACAGCAGTGACCAGCAGTGTGAGCAGGCAGAGGAGTGAGCAGTGAGAGGAGTGTCTTGTTCTTCTATGGGAAACTTCCAGGGAGACAGGGCTGTTCTTGGCTCTGTCTTCTAATGGGGGCTCATCTGGGACCCCAGGGGCCGAGGCTCAGCCTGTCCTGTGCTCGCTGTGGCTCCTGTGTTTGCTGTGGCTCCTGGGTCCTCCCACCCCAAGCATCTCTGAGCATGAGCCCTCTGTTTTGCTTTCCAGATTGGCAGATGCAGCAACGCCACTGTGGAGACTTCCATACCAGGAGCAGCTGCAGGTAAGGTGTGCACACTTGGAATTTCTCCATTGTGTTGCCCCAATGTCCCTTTCCATCCCCTTGAGCAACTGCCCTTAGGATCTGGCACAGCAGTCTGGTCCAACCCCCGAAAATTATTAGGATTGGAAAAGAACTCAAAGATCATCAAATCTCACCCCAACCCATCCCCACCATGCTCACTGAGCCAAATCCCTAAACCCCACCTTTTGCTGCCTTCACTCCTGAGTTATTCTAAAGCACAAAAGGTGCTCAGGCCCTGCCCAGTGCAGGACAGGTTAATGGAGGCTTCATTGCTCCAACACCCCAGACCCACCCTTGGGGCCATGGTGTCTGCATTGCTGTGTGGTCCATAGAGGCTGTGTGGTCCTGTGGGAGTGTTCCTGGCTTAGGACTGCTCTGTAGGTGAAATATGAGAGCGTGAGGAAGGTTCTGCAGACCCTGACATCACATCTATTGGAGCTGGGAGGAGGTGTGCAGGATCCCGGAATGCTCTGCTGTCCCCTGCAGCCCGTGGTCCCCTCGGTGAGTCCCCTTGGTTGGTTCCAGAGGAGCTCCTTTGCTGCCATCTGCTTTGCAGACTGCAGAACGAGAGCTGTATGCTGCACTCATACAAATCTGCACCAGAAGTAGTGACCGCTGTTGCTGTTACCACTACTGAAGCACAGCAGCCACTGTGCTGCATCCACTGGTTGGGCTCCACAAATGCCCAGCAAGTGCTGTTGAATGGCAGTGGGTGCCACTTTTTGTGCGTGGAGGAACTTATTGACACCCCTGTGCTTCATCTGCACTCCCACATCAGATGGCATTCTGTCAGACCGTCCCTCTGCTGCCATCTGTCACATGGCAACAAAAGGAATTGGGATATTGTTGGGAAGCTTCAACCCCAGCATCTGCCTTTGACGCTGGGGGCCAACATCATAAAACAGGAAGCATCACTTTTGGAGCAGCCCTTCTACAAGGCCTTGATTTCCTTCTTTCCTCCTTCAGCCCACTGTCAATGGGTACCGCAACAAATCCACGTTCTCTGTGAACCGAGGGCCGGATGGGAACCCCAAAACAGTGGGGCTGTATGTGGGGACAGGCAGAGGTCAGTATGGGGCCAGGAGTGGTGCTGGGTGAGGGCTGCTGGGCTTGCATACCACCTTTTCTTCTCTTTTGCACAATGGGGTGATTCAGAAGAAAGGCTTTTCTCCAGCTTACAGCGCTGCACGCTGCATGGTTTGCAGTGAAACAAACCCCTCAAATACCCATCTCTCTCTCCAGCAAGAAATATTGTCTGCGTGAGAACTGACCACATGATGAACATACCCCTAAAGCACAAACAAGTGGCCCAGGTAAAGTAAATATCACGTCTGTCTGCAGGTGGGAGAATAGACAGAGTGCTGTCTCTCCTTCTGGGGGAACACTGCATTGGTTGTGTGTTTGTGTATATACAGTTTGTATGGGTATGTATATGGATGTGTGGTTATGTGCTGTTCTTGGATCTGTTCTGATTCTGGCCAATGGAAAAAATGATTTTTGAAGCACAGAAGTTAATGCCGGAACCTCAGAAGTGTCCCCTGGAGTGAAGTTAATGAAGCAGCAATTAATGGCTATTTAAAACAGATGAGAATCTCAAAGTGGGACGATTGAAATGTGTTGCTTTCCTCGCAAAGAGTTTTCTCTCGGTGTTCAGCTGCGATAGCACAGAGGGCAGTGGTGGAACAGCCACTGTTTGGGGCACAGCATCAGACGAGGATGAGGGCTGTGTCCCTCACTGTGCTGTGCTCCATGCAGTGCTATGAGCAGTTCATCCGCTGCTCCCCGCTGGGCTCCTGCATCCTTTTCCATGAAGGTGGGCACTGGAGGGAGCTGGTGGTGCGCACCTCCCAGCACGGCCACACCATGGCCATCGTCACCTTCCACCCCCAGCAGCTGGGCCAGGTGAGTGGGAGTGTGCCATCTCCAGGCCATCCCAATGGCTGTCACGGAGCTCTGTGGACATATTGACCCAACCATTCCTTCCTTTTCTTCCAGGAGGCTTTGGCTGCTCAGAAAGCACTGCTGAAAGAGTTCTTCACCTGTGGACCTGGAGCAGTGTGTGCCCTGACGTCACTGTACTTCCAGGAGAGGTAGTGGTGGCTCTTGTGGACGTGGCTTTAAGGGGGCTGCACCTCGCATTTGTTGTGAAGTATCAGAAATACTTGGATATGGTTCTGCCCCATGGGAGTGTTGAGCCTGGGGAACAAAAGGGAAAATCTAAAGTGCTCTTAGGGACGTGACCTGGGTATTGCCAGGCTGATGGCTGCACTCAATGGTCTTAAGGATCTTTTCCAAGCTAAATGATCCAAATCATTTGGATCCTATGATTCTATCTATGGATTCTAATGATCCTATCATAGCCAAATCACATCAGCTGCAAACGTAGGAATACATCCCAGGGCTACAGCCCTCTCCAAAGGGCCACAACCCCACCCTACGTCATTGTGAC